ATTAAGTAAACATATCCAAATCTACTTAAATCATCAGTAAAAGTAATGAAGTATCTATATTGACCCCTAGCTTTTGAACTCATTGGTCCACATACATCCGTATGTATGAGTCCCAAAAGGTCACTTGCTCTTTCACCTACACCCGTAAAGGGTGACTTAGTCATTTTACCAAGCAAGCATGACTCACAATTTTCAAATGATTCATAATCAAAGGAAGAAAGGAGTCCATCCTTTTGTAATTTCTGGATGCGCTTTTGGTTGATGTGACCAAGACTACAATGCCATAGGTAAGTTGGGTTTGAATCATCTGTTCTTTGCTTTTTATGATCAATGCTATAGACATGAGTTGTATATTCTAAGACATACAAACCATTAATTAATTTTGCGTTAGCATATAACATATTTTCTTTAGAAATAAAACAACATTTGTCTCTTATTTCAAATGAAAATCCTTCAGAATCTAAAACAGGAACTGAAATAATGTTTTTAGTTATTGTTGGTACATAATAACAGCTATTAAGCACCAAAATAAGCCCAGAGGGAAGTCTCAAGTGATAACTTCCAACAGCAAGTGCAGCAACTTTTGCTCCATTTCCTACTCGAAGCGTTACTTCCCCTTTTGCTAACTTCTTACTTTCTCTCAAGCCCTCACGTTATTAACAATGTGAGCACCACAACCGGTATCAAATACCCAAGTGGAAGATGAAGTAAGATTAATTTCTACAACAAAAACATCAAGTAACTCTTTACCTTCTGTTTTCACTGGTGTATAATGGGGACACCCTGGTGTATGGTGAAGCCAATCACCACAATAGAAGCATTCGCTTTGTCTCCTCTTCAGGTACTCCTCAGCATGGTTGAGTAAAAGGTTGACTAATGTCACAGTCGAGCCCTCATCATTATGAGTGAGCCTAACTATATCAAAACCATAGTGGAGTGAGAACAAGATTATATCATGCTCGGAGTCATCATCGATCGGTTTCCCAAGGACGTCCATTTGATTGAACAAATCAATCATTTCAAGGACATGGGTCCTTTCTGACTGACCAGGCATGAGTTTCTTAGCCATAATCTTACAATGAACATTGTAAGCCTCATACCTAATGTTGTCAGTCCAGGAATAGTAAATCCGAGGGATCGAATTAACGATCTCTCTTACATTATGATCTCTGAAGCCTCCACTTCCTAATGCCCCAATGCCACCTCGACAGATAGCACGAAGACATTGATACAAGTTGGTTACCTCATAGTGCCTGAATCTTCTTCTCCAACAACTTGGAATAGATTCTAAAATGAGTTGTCTGATTTTCTCTGCATCTGAAACAATTTCAGCATGCCTTTCAGCTGTATAACCCTTAGTATAATCGCTCTCAACAGGTATATATAAACGAGATTCAAGCCCATGGCTTGTGAGAACTCTTCTCAACTCGCTTTCCCATTCCCTGAAGTTTCTGAGATTAAGCCTTAAATTAAGTTTCGTTGGAAAAATAACGTTGTCGTTATGGTTATTCATCTACAAACAAAAACAAAACGAGGCAAAGTTCAATAATAATGTTTAAAAATTTTAAAGTACCATAAGCGATGTTAATAGTTGGTAACTTTAAAACATTTATTCAATTTTAATTGATCCCTATTGAATAAAATGATTCCAAGATCCTTTAATTGTGCAATAATTGACCGGACTTTAGCCCTACCATCAACCATTACATTTTCAAGGTGAGTAAACTCTTTATTGATTACAACTCTTTGTAATTCTTGGTTGAATAATTACCCATCACATGTTTAATTATTACCCTTAGCTTCAAGGTTCTAAACTCTTTAGGTAACCTCGTTGAGTATAACCAATCAAAAGTGTAAAATTTGTTTTACCCCCACTCCCCTAAGATATAATATGACACCCAACTTTAGCATGACCCATCATAAATATTGAAGGTTTCATCGGGTTTTTGATTGGAAAAGCTACCTCAATATTACTGGGACCTAGATTTATTATGTTGTGATTATTTAGTGAACTCTAACGCATCATCAATCAACATAAATAAAATCTAACATGCATAATCTACTAATGCATAAATAAAACATGACATAGTATGGCCCCTTAATCCTAAGAAAAACTAATAAAGCAAAAAGCTCCCACTTGAACCTTCATGGATCTCATCCATCTTGCTCCTTTGGGACTTTACTCCATGGTTTTCTTGGATTAACGACAACCTGTAATACTATTCTATTCTATTTACTACTTAAATAAATAAAATAAATTACAAAAATACTTAATGGTACGCAGACCGTATTTAGATTGCAAAAATACGAAACGATGCGCAGATCGTATTTAGAATCTATGGGCCATACTAGTCTTTAAATATAACAATAAATAATATCATATATTATAAAGTGCCACATAATAAATCACTCATCATGCTTTCCTAAACTATAACATCGAATGATCATAATTGAGGAAACATGGCATAAAATATCTCATATTTTTAATTTATTATTGCAATTAGATAATATATTATTTCTAACCAATCATAAAATATCATATATTTTATTTAAGGTAAGAGATAGAATCAAATTATATTTTAGTTATGAAAGATAAATCATATTTATCTTCCATGGTTATCCTAACTAATTTAGGAGATTCTATCCTAATTTCTAGCCAATCACATAATTTTAATTCAATTATTATCCAAAATAATTATGGGATAATCATATTATTTAAATCAACCTTTATCTTTTTGGAATCTTGCTCAACAATCCTTAAAATTTTCAAAGATTAAAACAAATTTTAAGATTTGAAATTATCTTAACAAACTTTATCCAAAATTAACAACTTTAATTAAGGATAATTATCAAAAATCAACTTTTGAAATTTGACATTATCCTCAAAATAAAATCAGATTTTATTTTGAAAATATTTTAAAATAATTTTTTTTTAATAATGTGCTGCCACGTCAGCTGGGAAAATCCCAACCAACGCAGCAACAACACCGGCATTGCACGTCAGCCAAGGAAACCAACACACAACCGCGGCTAGGAACAAAGCCCATCCACGACGCCACCTTTACCCTAACTGGAACACTTCTAGTCAAACACCGGCGCTGTTTTCTGAGGGTGTCCCCTCATCGCAGCTAGGCCGGAGCCCAGCCACGAGCAGACCACAGCCTCGCTCCATCAGTTGATTGTCGCACTTCGTTGATGCTGCCGCCAGTTTCCGCCGCCCTCACTACCCCTTTCGACCACCTGGGTAGCCGCCGTGGTCCACCTGACGGTGATCCGACCACCTATCCACGGCTGCCCCTCCCAAAATCAATTCTTTTCCCTCTTTTTTTTTTGAGAGTTTTAATTTAATTTAACAACTCTTGTAAAATTAAATTAAATTAGGTCTTTTAAATTAAAACATAACATTTATGCCTAATTCAATTTTGAAATCAAATTCACAATTCAATTTCAAATCTAGGGTTCGAAAATCATCAAAATTAAGCACAAAATCAAAATTTAGGGCTTTATTTCAATCAAAATATTCGAAAATTCTAGGGCTTAAATCGGATTTTGCTAGAAAAATTGAGCAATTTAAATCATATTTAAACAATTCCAAAAATTAAATCTCATTTAATATAAAGATTGAACCATAATTAAATTATTCTCCTTCCTAATTGAATTAAAATTGTGGACTATAAAAGAATTAATATTCAATATATGTACATGCATAGGCTAACTGATACCACTGTAGGAGTTTATAGGTACGAATGCGGAAAACATGAATCATATTCATATAGCACCTAATCCCAAGATCATGCATAACACATAAAGAATTAGAATTAATACCTTTGAAGCGTGATTCCACGTGCGATCGAACAAGAACAAGGGAGACAAAGAACCTCAAGCGTGATTCCTCTACTTGGTCCACAAGCACAGATTAAGTCCTCCACTAATGCTAGTTAGTTGCAATTGAACCCTTCAATTGACCTTCTATGGAGTAGAACGAGCAACGAACAAATCACGAACCACCACGAAGGGAGGAGATGGGTGTGTGGTACAGACAGAGAGAGAGAGAGGTTTGGATTACTGGTTGCTTAGTGCACAATTAACTGTTAATTGTGTTATGTTATACAACCCTAGGCATGGACTTTATTTATAGATCTCATCTCTAAATAAGAGTCCATGACAAATCCCAAATCCTATCTCTAATCTAACTATACTTCCCAATCCAATTCATGATTGGTTACTTGTTCATGAGGCACATAAATAGGCCTCTAACTTGCTTAACCTAATACCTTTGTTGTGTGACCTCATAGGATCCATTCTAGTGGGCTTTGGACTATTTAACTAGCCCAAAGGTCAATGATCATAGTCTAGCAACAGATAATGACGACCCAAAAGAACGAACTTATTATCTCCATAATAGTGATCCTTGATATATCTAGTAATTGCACTTATTGAAGACAGAACTCCTTCAAAAACAGCTTAATTGGTAAGTATTGTAGCTTGTAAACCCTAGTTTTCGCATATCCTGCAATTTCTTTATTTAATTGAGGTCGGTTATTGCAATTCGAGAAGATATTCGTGTTTTCGATTATTCTGTTGGTCAGTGAAGTAATAAGTAGTTGAATTTATTGATTGTTTTAATGGGAAGTTTCCTGAGAGCTTACAAGGTCTTTAGATTTTGCAATTGGTGAAGTTATGCGTATACTGGGTTATTCTGTTGGTGTGTAATGTATAATTTAGTTGATTTCATTGAAGCAAAATACTTTACCAGTTAATTGGGGGGGGGGGGGTTGGGGCAATGAATTGCTGCAAGTTATTTTATCCTGAATTTGTGTCACTGCCAACACTATTGTTGATTTGGAAAAAGAGTTTCCTGAGAGCTTACAAGGTCTTTAGATTTTGTAATTGGTGAAGTTATGCGTATACTGGGTTATTCTGTTGGTGTGTAATGCATAATTTAATTGATTACATTGAAGCAAAATAATGTACCAGTTAATTGGGGGGGGGGGGGGGGTGGGGCAATGAATTGCTGCAAGTGATTTTATCCTGAATTTGTGTCACTGCCAACACTAGTGTTGATTTGGAAAAAGAGTTATTTGATTAATTCTACCTGCTGGTTTTTTTTTTGAATCCTTAGTGATTGTTGGGAAATATTTGCTATGATGATCTTATTCTTGATGCATGGGTCAGTCTTATAGTATAGTCCAACAGTGACCAGCAGTTTTATTGCAGGTGTGGTTATGGATTCTGATTTTGAATCTGGTGAAATGGGTGATCCAGATGAAGGGGGGCAAGGGATAACTTCTGGTGGTGTGGCTGATGCTCTTCCCCCTCTGAACTGTATGACACTGAAAGTTCCTAACTCCGCTGAGAGACTTGCTGCCATGTCTCCAATTAAAACTATTGAAACGGTAGAGACAATTGTCTCAACCAATCAGATTAGCATGTACAGTTATGTTGAATCACCTAGGTTAGGGATGGTTTTCAAATCCTTTGAAGATGTAGAAAGCTACTACAAAGAGTATGCTGAGCAGAAAGGTTTTGGGGTAACCCGAGTTTCATCATCATTTTCTAAGAAGGATAAGGAGGAGCGTAGAGGGGCTACATGGAAGTGTGAGTGTTGGGGTCCACCTGATATGAGGGCAAGGAGGGAGGCCAAGAAAAGGGCAAAGGCAATGGAATTATGTGGCACGGAAGGGATGGTTAATGGTGAAATAGGGGAAGATATCATGCAGCGGGCGAAAAGGACCTCCAAGAAATGTGAGTGTGGTGCCATGTTATATGCCGGGGTTGACAATGATGGGTTGTGAGTTATAAGGAAACTGAAAAATGAGCATGATAACCATAACCCTAAACCTAGTGATGCTAAGTTGGTGAAGGAATATCGAATGAAGAACTACACGTCGAATGTGAAGAAGAAACTTTTGAACTACTATGAAGAAGGTGTCCCTATAAGGCAAATTCATGGGTGTATGGCTACGGAGACCGGGGCTGATAACCTACCTAGTGTTAAGGACCTTGAGCATGAAGTGAGTAAGGAGAAGCGGTTGAAAATGGAAGGTGGTGACGCGGCTGCAATGATGGCATACTTTGATCGTATGCAAGCGGATAATCAGAATTTCTATCATGCACACCGCTTAGATGAAGAGGGCCGACTCAAGGACGTAATGTGGGTCGATGCTCGTAGTAGGGTGGCATATGAAGATTTCGGGGATGTTGTTTATTTTGATGCCACTTATTTAACTAACGAGTACGCGCTACCTTTTGCCAACTTTGTAGGGGTTAATCACCACGGCCAATCTATATTGTTGGGTTGCGCTCTTGTGTCCAATGAAGATTGTGACACATTTGGTTGGGTTTTTAGGCAATGGCTCTCTTGTATGGGGAATAAACAACCCAGGGCAATCTTGACAGATCAAGCTGCAGCAATGCGCAAGCCTTTAGCACAAGTGATGCCTAATGCTCGACATCGTTGGTTCATTTGGCACATAATGAAGAAAATCCCAGAGAAGCTTGGAAGTTGTGAACAGTAAGTTGTCTTGGTTAAGCTGTTATATTATGTTGTTTATTGCTGTGTAAATGTTATTTTAACTTATGCAATTATATAAGTCATAACTGGGGTGATGATGGTATATTATGCTGTTTTTAAATGTGTATATTATGTTGTATATTGCTGTGTAAATGTTGTAGTAACTTGTGCAATTAAATATGGTAGATTATATTGTATATTGCTGTATATTTTGATGTGTCTGCTCTGTATTTAATCTGGTATACTTGTTGTTCTAACTCATAACAGTAAGCTGTGATTACTGGTGTGTTGCTGTGTACTACATGCTTTATATGTGCACCTGTGGTAACGTATGCTAATATTGACCTTGTTCTGTGTATGATGTTGTCAATTATGTCAGTAACCTGATCATTACCAGTTGAAGTATGTGACTGTGTCAGTGGAAATAACTAATGAATTATGCATTGATGGTTGGTTACACGATTGAATAGATTTCCTTTACGTCTGTAAATTCTGCAGCTACCAAGATTTCAAGAGCCCTCTTAAGGCTCTTATATACGAGAGCTTCACGGTTGCTGAGTTTGAGCGTCGCTGGTCAGACTTAATGAAGCATTTTGAACTAGAGGAGAATGAATGGTTAGGTGATTTGTTTGAGGAAAGGCACATGTGGGTCCCAGCCTTTATGAAAGAGCACTTTTGGGCGGGGATGAAGACAACACAGAGGGTCGAAAGCATAAACAGTTTTTTTGATGGGTTTGTGAACAGGAAGACAAAGCTTTACGAATTCCCGGAGAAGTACACTAGGGCAATGGGAAGGCGTGTTAAAGCTGAATATGAGGCGGATGCTCGCTGTGGCAAATACTTGAGGCGTCTCGTGAGTGGTTTTTATGTTGAACAATTTTTCCGGGACATCTACACTGACACCAAGTTCCAAGAGATTGAAATAGAGTGTTGTAGACTTATGCATTGCTCTGGGAGGGAGGAGCGTGCCCTCGAAGGGAACTTGATTCAGTACCTACTTGAAGATCGGGTCTGGATCATCCCAGAAGGGAAGAGCGAAGAAGAGATAACTGATAGGAGACGATTCTACTGTGTCCTATTCAACACAGTGACAAAGGACGTATCCTGTGATTGTCGGAAGTTCGAAACCTTTGGTATTCTTTGCAGACATATTATCCAAGTTTATGATCAGAATTTGGTTTTTGAAATTCCTTCCAAGTATGTACTTGACAGGTGGCGCAAAGATGTCCCTCGGAAACATACCCGGGTTAAGTTAACTACCACGATCCAAGTGAAGAGTACTCTATCCAGATTTATAGGAAATTGATGGCGGAGTTTGAGCCTATATGTGAAGTTACTGCTGCTGTTGATGACAAGGACACAGTAGCTCTTGTTTTACAGTCTCTTCAATCACTTTCTTTGGATGTTAAAAAAAGTAGAGAGAATTACTTTGAACAACAACCTTCCCTACCGACCTTACCGAGAACCCTTGTGCCCCCTCTGAGATAGGTTCAAACAACCCTCAGGGCTGCCAAACACCTTTGTCAGTATCGAAATCTGATGGAGAAGAAGTGCACCCTGCTCCAGCACCTATTGTAGTGAAGGATCCTGTTCCGAAGAAACCGCGTGGACGGCCGAAGGGGTCTAGATATAAATCTAGAGCTGAGATGGGCTACAAGAAGAGTTTATTTGGACATCTTGTGATAATTTTTTTTTTTAACATCTTTTTTTACATCTTAACAGGCTAAGAGGAAAAAACCATATGGAGTACAGGTCCAGAATACAATTGAAAATTATTATGAATATGTTGCAGATGTTGGCGCGGCTGATGACTTTGTACAGCGTAACGGGTTAAACTGGGGATCTGCACTTTCAGAAACCTTTTAAGTACACTGTGATTGCAGCAGACATCACCACCGCTTGATTTAGCACTTTCACTGGGGTCTGGTATATGGTGTTCATCATATTATTTAGTGCATTTAAAAAATGTTGTTGACTAGAACCCTCTATGATCCTATATATATGTTGTGGTGATTGATATGTAATGTTTTGGACTTTTAAACATCTCACAAAACCCTTTATGATCCTATATATATTATGTGGTGTATGGGAGTTAACATATATGGTATATCTCCATTTTAACACCCATACATAGCATAATTAGAGGGGGTCAAATCCATAATGGCCAAGTACGTAGAAGCCACAAAAGTTAAGAAACATGGAGTTCAAATTTGCCAGCCACAAAATATTACAAGCAACGGTGCGAAAACTAATTGTCCAACCACTGAAGCAACGAATTGAAATTAAGAGACAGAGACTACCACATTGCTTAACTATATTACAAACAAAAGGCGTGGTCGTGCAATTCACCGTTCACCCACATCTGACTCCAGTGACAACCAAAAGCATTATCCTACCCTCCAACAGCAGACCTCTTGCCATAACCCAAATCAAGGCTGACCGTTTGGCGCCACAATCACTTTGTCGCCATTTTTGATTTCAGCATCCTTGATTAAATTAATCGATTATGTATTCCTGTGTGATTTAATCGATTATGTATTGTTACATGATTAAATCGATTATGTATTGTTACATCGTAATGTCCCTATTATGTTTGATTACATCGTATCGTGTGTAATAGGTTTGCTTAAATTGATGTTTAATCATTCAACGCATGTTTTCCACTATTGATTATAGAAAATTATAAATTTGAATAAATTTATTTTGTATTTCAATTTGTTACATTAAATTTTGTTACTCTCTTAAAATTACTATGTTACTCTCTTTTTTTTTTTACTATTGTTTACATAAAATTTTGTTACTCTCTATTTTTTACTTGAATTCATAATAGGGCTTATACTCTCCCTAACTAGCTGTCTAATTTCGTATGTGAACCATAAAATCAGCCGGGTCCAGCTACTGATCCCACTGTTCGCTTCCGGAACCTAGAAAGTGATAGCGAAGGTCGCCCTGAGGAGGATGAGAGTGATGACGACTATGATTACATTGGTGCTTGGATAACAAATTCTGGCCTTGATGATGACCCTTCTATCCATGATGATAGCTGGTGTTGATAGCAGACAATGTGAGAGCTGCTTGTAGTCAATTAAATCAAATTAAGACTGTCATCTTGAATCTATTATGTTTGTAATTCACTAATGTTGGTTGAACTTCTTGTTATGTCCCGGTGTGTTTTCTAGTTGTTGTGTACGTGGTTCTGGATATTTGTTTAATGGTGTGAACTCATGTTATGAGATTGTTATGCTCATTTAAGGTCTGACTTACGTCGTGTTACTAAAATTCGCAGTTGTTTATTGATAAAATGTTTATTTTGTTATGTTTAAGGGATAGTGATTTTAAAACGGTTGAATTTTAAAACGTGCAATCGATTGAATAAATCAAGTTTGTTTTTTTAGCAAAAGTAAAAATTATCAAGCATAAATTTGCATTTTACAAATAAAATTTCCGATATTTTAATAATCACAAGTAAATTTATGTCTAGAATAATAGATTTCTAACTAGAATAATATATATTAAACAACTAAACAATTTATTCACAAGGGGATTAACATTAGAAAATAATTGTTTGCAAATCAAATGTAATATTGCCCTATACTAATGGACAAAAACCATTAAATATGTGTGACAAAAAACTAGATTTATCAATGCCACAATACTTTGTTCAGGGATAGAAATTTTCCAAAAGTACACTATAAACAACTTTTGTTTTATTAGTCCTTTTTCCAAAATTACCTGTGCAATTACAATTTTCTATTGGAAATTCAGGCTTGCATTTCATTTACCCGCCAGCATTTTCAAAAGGTACCAATCCATTTCAATTTACCCTCCAAAAATTCTAAATGTGCCCGCCAAAACATTCTTGAGATAATTTCAAAGCTCCTTATATAAATACGATGAAGAGCTTGTTGCCTCTGTCCACTTACACGCACCCACAATGGCCAAAAAGAAAATTTTTATCCCAGTCACTATGATTAAGCCACTCCAAAAAAAGCACTCTCACAAAGAGCTACTACACAGACCTAAGTCACAAATTGTCAAAACCAGAGGTTTGAAAATGGTTCAACCTTTTACTCCAAAACCAACATCTAATGTACGCCGTCAAAGAGTTGTGTTGGGGTGATTAAAAGCGCCATTTTGACTTCAGATGGGAAGGTTGCGATTTCTTTAATTGACGCAACTACTGCGGCACAAGTAATCGCGGATTATACAAAGCTGGAAGGAGACCTTGTTGTCATCACTCCCTCTAACAAGGTTAGTCCAGCACACTTGCCGGACTTATCAGACCTTGCATTGTTACCGAAATCTGCCAAACTTTTTATAAGGTGGATGATATGTGACGAAGGTGGCAAGGATGGTTGTGGGTTTGAACATATCCTTCCAAATGCTGTGGTGGGGGTGGTTGATCCTCCATCAGAAATACCGGCTACCATCGAATTTTGTCAATTGTCACTAGGTGATCATCTTATTAAGATACCTAGTTACCGAAATGACTTCAAGCTATTTAAACTACAACATCCAATGTATGTGTCTCACATACATATCCAAACTAGCACCATCACCTCAAACATTTTAGATGGAAGGAAATCAGAGGTCAAAGTGCAAGTTTCCTTGAATGAGGATGTGAGTTTTTTGAGTCAAGTGAGCACAAGGGGATTAACATATGTAGTATGGAACTGTCGTGATATGGGTAGGGACACTTTCCTTCCGTTAATGAGGTCGGTTATAGAGTTGAATATGCCTGATTTCATGCTCTTAACTGAAACGCGAGTTTCAGTACATATGGCACGCCTGATTTGTGCCTATTTGCACCCTTTGGCTGGTGTATGGGATGTCAAACAACGAGTACGAGGGGGGCTATGTAATGCTGGCCTTTACTAAGAATATGTCAATGAAGTTGATAAGCTCATTCCCTAATGAATACTCTTGGGCTTTTGAAATGCAAAATTGATGTGGTGTAGTAATGCTAGTATTATAAAGTGTTGGTGATGTTTAATTCTGCTTTAATTTTGTTATTAGTTATGAGATGATGTTTAATTATGCTTTTGTTATTACTTATGAGTTGTAATGTTCAATTTACTTATGACCTGTAATGTAAAATCTTTTTAACATTTAAGTTGTTCACTGTGGGTTTTGTTCATTAATTATGACTTGTTATGTGAAAAAATATAATATGAGATGTAATGCATATTTATGAGTGTTTGTTAAAAACTAGCCCATAACACAGAACAACCCAATTTGTAGTCGTGAATGTTTGTAGTCGTGAATGGGCTTAAATCCAGCCCAATTTGTAGTCGTGAATGTTTTACATGTCAAAACAGAGGGGTTTATCATTACATGCTTGGATTATAAGGTTTATATCATTCTATGTAATGATGAGGTTTCAACATTATAATGGGTTAGAAGGTTTGAACATGCTTGGATTATAAGGTTAGAACTTGAATAATTTATTTCTATCACTTTATATCACTTCATAATATAAAAAATCCAACTTACAAGAAAACCTGAATAATTTAAAAATTTAGCCCCCCCATCACACAGAGCAGCCCATTAACTACTTGGGCCCAAATCCCCTTTAGCACGATACACTAACGCCATTATTCAATTAAAAAACTAATTAATGTAAAAATGGTTACATATCATAAGTGTTGTTCATCACAACCACATCCTCTTCAATAGGATGATTGACTGCCTTCTCACCTTTACATTCGTCTGTGTAAATGGATCTACCCTTTGGAGTACTCAAAGTCCGGACACTCGTTCCCTTAAGACCCTTAGTTTTTAACGCGCTTTTCCGTGGTCCACTACTCCTATAACAAACACTAGGAGTGGTTCTGAACCTGTAACATAATAATGAAACACCATTGACACAAAGCAACCCTCCAAATTTGAAGATCTGCACAATTGAGATAAATAAATTAAAACTATAACAACTATTAAACCCTTACCTTTTTGAACCCCTCTGGCCCATTCGTATCCCTAGCCTCAATAGAATGCATTTCACCATAAGCAACACCCAAAGTCTATAATGTCAAACCACAACACATCCATCAGAATTGGTAAGACATATAAATAATTACGCTTACGACTTCTACTTACCCCAATCTTTCCAAAATCACCACCATTTGGGAAACGATCTTCTGAAACCGCCTTACGTATCTCTTCCATCTTCCAAACCTCCCATCGCGGGAAAAAACCCCACTGCACAGGATGTCTGTCTAGCCGATCCAAATACATAACCTGTCAAGTTGGGATACACCTTTTCTCAAACTTGGAAAACCATGTGTTAAACAAAGATACCAACCAAACAAAACATATAAGTAACATACCACAATGTATATTAGGCAGCCTGCACACCCACTAGCATAGCCACATGAGTAAAACCGACGTGCAAACATCGCAACACTATCCATTAGCTTCTTCAAAACTAGGCTGCACCAGTCATATTCAGCAGCTTTTGCGGCACACGTTAATGATGGCACTAAGTCAGCAGCCAATCTAGATGATTGATTAGGACATAACAACATCTCTAGCGCCAACAACAAGAAAATAGTCTTGAACTCTTCCGCTTGATCTTTCTCCCATTGTCCCTCAACCCGGGCAATCAAATCAGCGTTAACTTGAATACCCTCAAATAGGTACTCACGACCAGTTCTAGAAGACTTAGTTTTCCAGTTTTTACCATACCTATCCAAAATACTTTTCACCCTATCAAGCATTTCACTATCCAGTGTTTCATATGTGGGAACAGGAAGTCCACCATTGGGAATACCAAGGACCCAATGCACCTGATTTTGAGAAAGCCTGAACACTCTACCATCTCTACTGGTAAGAGTACAGTTGAAGGGATCTATACGAGTCATCAGCCAATAAGCCAACTATCTTGGGAGGTTAATTTCTCCAATTTTTAACAAACCACCAAACCCCATTTCAAAAACCCAACCCTTCCTTTGCTGATCTAACTTTTGACATATTCTACCAAACGACTGGACGCGACAACTAGTATTAGCTGGCTGTAAGAATTAACCATAACAAGAAACAGGTATCAACCACTGTAGACACCCATTTGTGTCTCCCCAAAACCAAACCCAGTGATGAGTGCCTTTCACGTCGAATCATAATCGAATGAAACGAAAGTGTGGAAAGGTCTAGTGTTGCGGAAAGTTTTATTTCTTTTCTTTTCTTTTCTCTTCTCTCTGTTTCTGAAAACTTTATTTTAAGAAAACAGCCAATTCAGTTTGGTTGGTCCATGATATGGGTCCAATAGTGGTATAGTTAGATGGGGCTTGCAAAGACCTTTCCAACGATATATTATAAGCCCAATTCCGATGAATATTGAGGAATTTATGGCCAATTTACTCAACTGGGCCCGGTTTGAGTTTTAAGTACGACCCAATGATCTAGGGGAGGGCCTAATATGATTTATCATTCCTAATGTAATTAGGAATGGTTTTGGTCTTCTAGAACATTCTAGAAGGTTCTTATCATTCTTAATTCAATTAGGATTCTTTAGAGTTTTAATTAGATCAAATAGCATTTTCGACTGAAATTATATTATTTTATCTTCCAGTACGGTAAAATTATCAGATTTT